TCGGAAATTATCTTTAAAAACAAATTAACAGGATTCGGTTACAATGCATGTTACAATTCATGTTCAAAGCCGGACAATTCATTTAATTTCATTTATAGCATGAAAAAACTCAATTTCATATTTCTTTTATTCCATCGTAACGGATTGATTTTTATCTTTGTTATACGAGAATGTTGACAAAGTGGTTGTGTCTTTGAACAATCCTTATTTCGCTTTGATCTAAAATGGTTTAATCTCTTTAAACAATCGATGACATATAAGCTGTCTGCAAACAACGTATAGTATTTTACTGCAGTTATTTAAATTGACTTGTAATTGTATTCAAAGACTGCGCTCTGTACACAGTTTGGATTTATTCAAAGAGATTTGATCAACGTGGTTCTTCTATTTACCATACAGTGTGGCAAAAAGTCTCGGACAGTTAAATATTTAAAATACACCGCTGTAGCAAGCCTGCAGACTAAGTGAATTTCCAATTAAACTTACTTTCTACTGAAATATTCCCAAATAATATTAAGATAGTGAGTACTTGGGTTTGCTACAAGGAATGTCAACAAGGTAAATTTGCCAAATTCGATCAAAATATATTCATAAACAAGCAAACTACGATAGTTTACATATTCTCAATGCTGAGTAAATTGTCTTATTAAAATATTCTCCATAGCATTATTGTAATTTGCTGGTTAAGGACGTAGGGTGTTGCGGGGCGTTGCCGGGGATGGTTAGTCGTGAAAAGCAATTTTGTGAAATGTTTTCGAATCAATTTTTTTTTTAGTGTGTGTTTTTAGGAAACCCCAAGTTCTGGTATTAAATTTGAGACTGAATCATTAGGTTTAAAACCATTCGACACCAAAACCAGGATCGTCTAACAGTTCTCCAAGTATTTAAACCTAATATTAATTATTAAAATGATCGTGATTCTACAAATCATAAACGTGGTGAAACTAATTTAATTTTGCGATAAATGGTCGTTAGTTAGACTACTATACCCAGCTGAGGTGTTGGAATGAATGAAAGTGCTCACTGTATAGGGTTAGGAGGCCAAGGCCAACGTAAGTCGAACACTTTCGCTTCATGCTTACCTGGCAAATACTTCCTCATCTCGCTGCGTCACGCATTACCAGATAAGAGGTCACCTGATGCGCGTGCGGGGTTACTAAACTGGGTGTATCTGTGTTGATTGACTGGCTATGTATTTAAAATATGTATTTTGATTTTATGGTTGAAATTAAACTATTGGGTATAAAAGGGCGTGCTGGCTTGCAGGGGTGCAAATTGTGTATAAGGCAAATAAAAATACCCTCGCCACAGCAAAACTGCAGACTAATCGAATTGCCATTTACCTGGCTGGATTTCTACTAAATTGTCGGATTTATTTTCTATTTAAATAACATTAATTTTTATGAGTACCTAGGTTTTCTGCTACAAGGAAGGTATTAAGGTGTGTTTTTTTATTGAAATGTTGATAGCTTAGTATGAAATAAACAAAATTTTAAACTTTGATAAAAATATATATCCATAAACAAGCAAACTACAACAGTTTATTTATTCTCCATAAAAATAGCACGTGAATGTTAAATTATTTTTTTTTTGTTATCCGTAACCGTCAGGCATACAACAACGCTTCAATATAGAAAATTTTTAGTTCTTACAAAATGGTCTGGAAAGAAATTGTGAACTTTTTGTTTTTAGAGTCAAAAATGGGAAAACCCAATTTTTATCCCATAAACCCCCGTTTCCATAATCCGATCATGCTGGTTTGCGAATTCGTTCGTATAAACGTAGTTTTTTCACGTTTGTACCAAATTCCATCAAAATCTGACCATTTTCCTTCAGTTATCGCGCTAACGGACATATTATATATAAATTTTAACGGAGGGTGTTTTTGGCCTCTGGGGACCTCAAAACGAAAAAGTAAATCGGTCCCGGGTCTAGGTCTTACCATGAGACCTACGGTAACAGCTTATTCCCTGTATAGGAAATTAGCTAAAAATCGTTTAACAATTGTAAATATACTAAAAAGTTAATAGATATTTTACCAAATGCGGTATGTGTTGGTATGTATTGCTGGTATTGTATTGAATGAGTTGGTATGTATTGCCAAATGCGGCAATTAATAAGAGAAGTCAAAGGTAAGGAGAAAATTGAACGAGGAGAACGCATAAACCTGCTAGACACTTCCGAAATGTTTAATATAATCTTTCCGGGATTGTGTATACGTTTATTTTCCTTAATCTTTAAATATAGTCTTTCTCTCTCTCTCTCTCTCTTGGTATAAGGAATCATATCCCTAAGTACAAAACCTTTTTGACACCTTGTATATTGTATGGATTTTACCAAGAAACATTCCATTTGGTCTTTAAGCTCATGAGCTTGAATCAAAAACCTCTCATAACAGCCGTCCGAAGATATCTATAAGCTATCTTTCACATCGGACAATTTTTAATTTGCTTGAAAAGGACTTGAAGTCTTCCACATCTTTTGTTGTTTTTGTTTGTAAGAGAATTTAATGCCTCACAACAACCGCCGGTGGATTGTATTCTTTTTTCACACCGAGCAATACGTCTTTTAGAGGTTTAAAGGCTTAAAAGCCTCTTATCAGCAGTCGACAATATCAATATCTTCTTGTTGAACACAAATAAACACACTTCCTCAAGTAGTTATTTAGAGTTCACCCACACTACTTCTACCTTCACTGTCTGAAGTAAATCATTCAATCTTCGCAATGTCAGTTCCTTCGATAGCTCAGTTGGTAGAGCGGTGGACTGTAGAGGCAAAACAGCTGATATCCATAGGTCGCTGGTTCAAATCCGGCTCGAAGGATTTAATTTTGCACTGTAAAATTAGATGCTTAGCTTTAGATTGAAGTAGCCAAGTGAAGTATGAACTTTTGTTTCAGTATTTTATGAACCAGTTACGACGAATCCATGTGTCACTGCCTTTTATCAGGTTTAAAGTAGACTTAAATCTTAACCATCCCAATACGCAACATATGTGCCCACCAAGACAAAAAATATGCATGAACTCTACAGCAGTGACATTTTATTCTCGAAATTACTAACTGAGGGTCGCGTCCTCTGCTTCTTATCCATATCTGTGGTTTTCGTTGAAAAAAGGATCTTTGGCAGCTTAGGAGGATCAACCAACCTGAAAAAATCTAATTTGTTTCACCCCGAGAAACATGGGGCCATTGATTAAATTAAAGGCAATATTATATAGCTCTGACAGCAGTTATATGGAAGCGTATCCCTCACATTTTATACCAGCATATCTTATGTAAATTGTTTACTCTCCGAAATGTCAGCTCCTTCGATAGCTCAGTTGGTAGAGCGGTGGACTGTAGAGGCAGAACAGCTGATATCCATAGGTCGCTGGTTCAAATCCGGCTCGAAGGATTTAATTTTGAAGTATGGTTGAATATTTTTAATAACATAAATCTAAAAAATAAAATCCTTTACTAAATGACCGGGTGACTTTAATGAGTTCGGTTGTCCAACAAACATATGCAATATATATTTCCTGAACAAGAATATTATGCCGTTGGGTATTTCTTTTTTCTTTTGACAAACACAGAAAAAATCGTTTGAAAAGTTTTGAAAATCTCAAACATTGAAAGTTTGATTTCCAGCTCATGCGAATATGTTGCTGGTTTAAATCCGACTCGAACGAATGAGCTTTTGCACACAAATATTATCCGTCTGTAAAACACTTACTGACTCAAGTGTGTTTTTCCGCCCAGCGTTTCAAATTGACGTAGCAGATTGCATACAGTCAGTTAAAAATCAATTCGTGATAGGTTTATTGCAGTTAAAAACAATTCACTGAAAGTTTATTGCAGTTATTGTACTGCAGTAGTTTATTGCAGGCATCGATTATATACATCGATGATTGCTGGTTTATTACAAACATATTTGCGTTAGTGCTATTTCAAATCAGTATCCGAGTTGATCTGATCAAATTTTGCACGAGCTAAATTGGCCACACGAATCATTGTATTTACGGCAGCAAATTGTCATGTTTTCAGCAGTTAACTACTTCGGGAGCAATGAAGTAGGTACACGAGTCGCAGACTTAAATGTAGGTCGCTAAATTGTGCCATTGTATTTCCTTTGTATTGTGCTAACATTTGGTTGTCTTTGCTAAGGATTTTACTTTTTGAGTGTCCTTGAGCGTAAGCGATGAGGAAACGTGTCGAAGTGAAAAAACTTAGTTTGCATTTTTATTATTATTAAAACTAAAAGTCCTATGAGTTCGTTAACTTTTTTATGGTCGTAAAATACTTTGATCATTAAATAATCAAGTGAATTAATCTAATGATTGCATTATGTTGGGTAGTAAATGGTTTTATTTTTTACCTTCTATTACTATTTTTAGATACGTGCTTTAGATCAGAAATAGTGGTACCTGGTGACACAGTTTGGAGAAGACCTTTCGTATATACACTTCAAGATCGGTCGCGGGAGTCTTTCAGTTCTGGACGAAACAGTAAAACGATATATTGCTTGCAGATTAGCCTGTGACTGCAAGAGACTGTTAAACTGTTTGAGTGCGTCTCTAGGACTGCATTAGACAACGGTAAATCCTGGGATTCTTTAACACGGCGACCCACAAGCAAAACGGCCTATCGTGACAGTCATAGCAACCGTCAGAAACCTTCCATAGTGTTGTGGTTTCCCGGAGGAATTCTCAATTTAAAGGAACTTAATCACATTACAGTACAGCAATCGACGCCATCTATATATGGTTTTCGCCGGTAAACTGTGCCGAAAAGGATCACAAACACCGAAACACTTTACAGAATCCATCGGAACCTACAGTTCATAATATCACAGAGCAATCTACCTTACGAGCCCCATGAGCCGTCACGAGCTTTTCCATGTCCTTTTTTCACCCTGAAAATATAGTTTGTAGATCTCACGACAGTAAAACATGTGAATTGTTTCTCCATTCGCGATATCCACTGTGTTTACGTAAACCGTCCACTCATTGCAGCGTCAGCTCCTTCGATAGCTCAGTTGGTGAGAGCGGTGGACTGTAGAGGCAAAAAAGGTGATATCCATAGGTCGCTGGTTCAAATCCGGCTCGAAGGACTTAATTTTGTAGAATTACTAAAAGCCTTTTTGGGTGACGAAAATATAATCTTAACTTGGTTTAGATAGTACGTTGAAACGTTTAAGAAGTTTTCCACGATTTTTTATCAAGTTTGATTAATGGATTCGTCGATCAAATGGACTGATTGCATTATCACCAGATATTCTTCACAGCCTAAAGAAGGGTAATTTTGTTTTTTGTCTCTGACATATCTCGAAATCCTAGTGTGTCAGTGCAGCCACTAAAGTCTTTGTTCGCGCAACCTCTTCTTCAGTGTAGCTTGAAGACGTTTACAGAACCATTCCCAAAGATTGATTGACGTTGCAATTACCAAATAGCCTTCTCAAACTCGTTGATGTTTATTCCTACGGATGTACCAAGCATTGTAATCTTCAGACGCAATCATAAAGCTAATGATGCGGTTACTTTGCAATTCCTGTGTTTGAAGTTCATTACCAGATGTGTGATTTACTAGATGGCAAGGTCATTGCGGACGACTGCGCTATCATTACGTACATGAGACCAAACAAGCTTAAGTGCACAAGGAATCAATAACCAGCTACTTGATTGTGGCTAAGAAGCTGAATTGGAAACTGCAGAAGAGGATTTGACAAAGTATTACAGGGGTGGTGTGGTCCTATAATCCAGCTACTAGGAGGTCACGAATTGTGGATATTTATAGGCATGTACTGTGGATGCGATACTCCCTGGTGTTGATTAACGTGCGTACTACGACTATCCGCAGTACTATCCTGATAATAAGACCAATTCGTATATACCAAAGGCAAAAATGTGGTTCGGATTCCACTATAAACTGTAGGTCCCTTAGTTAAGTTGCCATTAGCTGTATGGGCTATTAATTAACAGCTGTGTCTAAGGAATATGTCGGCCTTAGTCACTAACAAGACTACAAGATCGCGCCACTCATCCTACACTCATCGCCATTCATACTTGGCTTAAAATACCTACTTTGTATGGTCGCCATTTCATTAAAAAATATAAAAAAGTATCTCTTTCAATATTTGCTAGTGCGTGAAAACTATAAAATAATTGTGTTACACTCGTATGATCATTACAAGCACAAGAAAACTATTTGTGAATTATAAACTGTTTTGATTGATTCATGTAAAACTGAAACTATACATAACATCATTATGTACGTTGAAGAAATTGGAAGTAACCAATATGGAAATTCGTAAAATTATGACTAAATTGAAAAATGGAATGATTTACGGGGACTAGTTGGTAATTGAGTAGTATTTTTGTGAATAGTTGCATCGGGAAGCTTTTTGGGTGCTACCTAAAGGAATAGTTTCCATTCCATAAAAATCAATTTTAATAGACCATCTAGTGTAAAGGCCTACTGCATTTTGGTATCAGGCAATTATGAACAATTAATTATCAAATAATGTAACCTTGATTACATAAATAAAAAAGACACACACCACACACCAAGTTCAGTTGACCTACAGTTTTCACTCTCAATTCACATCCACGCAGAGACCTGAACTAATTTAATGTTGAATGTTAAACTCTCACTTTCTCAACTCCTTCGATAGCTCAGTTGGTAGAGCGGTGGACTGTAGAGGCAAAACAGCTGATATCCATAGGTCGCTGGTTCAAATCCGGCTCGAAGGATAAAATTTTTGTTCAGGGTAGATTTTTTAGGGAGTTACAATTCACCATATATCAACACTATCCAAAAATAAATTTATTTACACTTAATCCCATCAATCATATTATAATATTTTAAAATAATTTCTTCTTCTTTGAGGTTTTAGTCAAAGAATAAAATACTTGTTTTATCAGACGTAATGGCTGCAGCGCTAAATCTAGCTGTCGTGACTTTATAACCTTGGTTTAAGTCAAGGGCAACGTAAAAAACTGATTATTATAAAATTACAGTGGCAACCTGTAATGAAACAACTACCAACAACAACGTGAGAATTAATTATGTTTAGCTTATACTTTGTTTGGCTATAATTAATGGGAATGGGCTGGCAAAACAAACCATTAAGGACTTTTACAAGAAGTCTTTCACATTTAAAACTTGAGTGACTTTACTTTGTCACAACTATTATGAAATTATAAATTGTTAATATCACAAACCATTTCTAATAGCTTTTTGCAACACATTTTCAAACAATCAAGTTTTTCAAAATTTTTACTTGTAGTTTATTCTTCCATACCGTACTAGTATGCCATGGTTGAAACTCCTTCATATAAAACTCGTTTAGGTATAAGATTAAGATTTCCTCACTGACTGATGTTACTTTCGTCACTGTTTAACTTTGACACCAATACCAATTACTATTTTGAAGTTTGCCTTTCAAATTTTATCAAGTTCTTATTTTCCAGACATTACAATTTGCCATACATAAAAGACTCGCCTTCATTTTCTTAGAATTTCCGAGGCCAACAACGCAGTTAAGATTCTCGGACCAAGCAACACAGGTAGATTGCATTTTAATGGCGGCACATTAATAAAGATTTCAAAACGATAATTTTGAGACTATCTAAAATATCTTATTGGGATAACGATGTTGTGTTAAATCGGTGTTTAGATGAAAAGGTCACTAGAAAGTCAAAGACAGAAGAGTGGCCTATCTTGTAGATAAGGAATGTGTCATTATAACAAATCCCTAATGGAGGAAAGTCCTCATCAGTCTGGTAATGTCGACCTTGGCATAGGGCAAATATTGTAGCAGACGTATGAAAACATTATTTTATTTTGTTTTTGAGCATTTTAAACGATTGATTGAGGCTAGTTTGTACGGTTGCTAAAAATGCTTATGCAAATTGTATAAATTTTGTTATACATCGGGTTAAAAACTGTCAAATAGTATTAAAAACTTCTCCGCATTGTAAGCTTTAAAATGATAACAGCTTTTTATGCCTGCCTAAGGGGAGGCATATTCCGTTAAACATTAAATTAATCATTTTCAATAACTTCTATTAAATACAAGAATGCATTTGGTGGATGTAGTGTGCTAAAGGTAGCTGTCTGTATAAAAATACCCTCAGTAAACGAAAAAGGTGGTCCACGCAGAGAGAACAGAGTACGACTTTTCCCATTTCCGTTAACCTGCGAAGCTGTGATTTGAAGATCTTGAAGATAGCCATCGGGTTGTGTTCCATGACCTCTCCCTTTTTTACAATGTGTAAAGCCTTACTTACAATCAAAAAGCTGGCCACTGGAAAATACCATTGAGAAAGTTTCACAAAACCTTACACTTTGGAAACACAACGATCTTGCAAAACCTTATTTATTTTATTTCAACGAACAAGTCAAAATGGTTATATTTAGATGACAAAACCCCCAGACAGATCAACAAAGGATAAAATCATCAATTACTGTTTACGTCATTTACGTTCAGGATTGTTTGTTTACACTTTCTCCGCGCGACATTTGTGGCCGCATGACTCACAATGAAGCATTGACACAATAAACTGGCCGTTGCAAATAACAACAAACATCGACAGTGTCTTCCCCAACCAGGAAGTGGATCTTCTTTGTTGAGTTACAAAATGTGAAAATTGCGAAAACAACGTCTGGGTTTAAGGTTTTTGGCAGTGGCGATTCTTGGTGCTGAAGGTGGTAGAGATAGACACGAATTGGACATCCTTAATTTTCAAGAAGGGTCAGAACAAGATCTACTCGAGCAAGAGGTGGGAAGAAATTACCAGCCAAGTAGAGGGGGTTTTACAGGTGAATAGAGTATTACAAACCCTAGCATATTAAAGAGTCTCCTGGCCTAACCTAACGCAAAGACACTGAGGTTTTCTATTGAACCGAAAGGTGGTGTAGTGCTTGTTTTGCCATTTGGCCCTTTCAACCTTCTTGTAACAGTATACTTGCAAACATTGCCAAATCCATTCATTTCGGTGATAAACGCGCTTAGGGAACATAGACGAGAGAGAATTGGACGTAGAGCCTGAATTAGTTTTCAGTGTTTGCAAATGATGAAAAACGTATTTACTGTAGTTTATAGGGCATAAATTATTCATAGGTCTTTCCATTATTCAAATTAGCAAACCAAACATCTTGAATCAAGTCCCATTGTGTTACATAAGCAGACGTGTAGGCATCAGGAATGTTGCAAGGTCAGTGTATGGAACCAGCTACACAAGCTACAAGTTAAGGTAGGCAGCAAGCACTAGTGGTACTGGTTACTGGATACTGGGTACTTACCAAGGCCGGTGGTGAATATGACGTCACGAAATCATGGTCAAACGTAGGTCCCTGGAACACAAACAAAATGCAATATAAGTATAAAAGAATCTTCGTCTTCAGAAGATGACTATGACCACAGAGAAGTGCTACGGACCTGGCGAACTGGCGGAAATTCTTGCTAATCTGGACACTTTGAAGTGATGCATCTTCGGGTCGGGGTAAGCTACGATTCTCTTCGGTAGGATTGTAGGTTGCCTCGAAAAGGTTGCTTAGTTGTCTACTCTTAAATCTGGTAGAACCTTACTACAATCATCAATTGAGATGGGGACGCCATTTATAGGTGCGTTCGATCCTGAGAAAAGTCAGTAGCTTTTTGATGGTTCGAAACTGGACCCAGCTGTTCCTGATCATTGGGCTTTAAATAAATGATCCTGGCTAATGAAACAGCTGATCTTAGTCAGTAACAAAGCTACACAGGTCATCACACACCATTCTACACTCATCCTTCACTCATATTTGGGTTAAAATACGCACCTAAGTGTCGTCCCCATCTTAATGATTGATTGATTGATTGATTATTGATTTAACCAAAATATGAGTGTAGAATGAAGTGTGGTGATCTGTGTAGCTTTGTTAATGACAAAGATCAGCTGGACCATACAGAGAATCTTTAGACATTCCATCTCATCCCCATGTTAAATTTGTTGCCAGTTTTTTAACCAAAATTGTCGTAGTTTATGTGAGCCACCGACAGCTTGTGCTGATCTAAATAAATGGTTTCTGTCGAAGACACAATCTTTTTTACCAATACAAACTAATGGAATGACTTGTGAGCTATAGAAACTGTTATTACCCACCAACTTGGCCAGCGACATAAGGTAGAAAATAGAGTTTTAGTCACTATCCTCATGTTAAATTTGTAGCCAGTTTTCCAAAATCGTCGTAGTTGATGTGAGCCACCAACAGATTGGACTGATCTAAATAAATGATTTCTGTCGAAAACACGATCTTTTTTACCAATTCAAACTAATCGAATGACTTATCGTGAGCTATAGCAACTTACCCACCAACTTGGCCAGCAACAAAAAATATGGTAGAAAATATAGTTTTAGTCACTAGCACATTCTGTAACTGGCTCAAACAACTACTTCTAAAATTTGAAACTAGCCTATATTTTTCAGGGTAAAAAATGGCATGGAAAAGCTGGCTCAAACAACTACGTTTTTTAACAAAAAATTTGTTACAGCTGGTCAATATAGATGGGACTTCTACTTCAGTATCCAATAGTCAATGGTCTTAGCTTTAAACCAAAGTAAATGAAGTAACTGTAAATTGAACGCTAGTTGAACCTTCGCGTCGGGCAGACATCAACAATTACTTTGAAGGAAGTTACTTCTCAAGATAATAATAGTGTGAATCGATTAAATGTAATTAAATCAACCCAGTTGTAGTGTTATGTTGCACAATTCGACCTTACTCGACTTGCTACTTCCTTATAGATGGGAACAAAAAACTGCAACGAAGGCGTTCATCGCAAGATTGCAATCGCGGTTACAGCTTAGCTTCAAGCTTACTTTCATAGCAGTCCTTCTTTAAAAACTCATCTCAGAAATTATATTGGTAATGACAGATTATTATTAAATTCAACAGATTAATTAAATTGGTACATTTACAGAAGCCTGCAGCAGCACACTCTGTAACAGGAGCATTCAACTTTCATGGATTAAAATTTAAAAAAAATTGCTACAGCTGGTGTGGAATATGAGACGCCAACTTAGCCTTCAGCTTGCTAAAACCAAAAGAGCGATATGCAAACCAGAAAATCAACTAGGACCGTCTGGATTATTACTATGTACATTGAACGATACAACTTACTATCTAAACCACGTTAAGATTCCCATTTTTCGTCGCCAAAAAGACATTCAAAAATTCTACAAAATTAAGTCCTTCGAGCCGAATTTGAACCAGCGACCTATGGATATCAGCTGCTCTACCTCTACAGTCCACCGCTCTACCAACTGAGCTATCGAAGGAGCTGACGCTGCAACGAGTAGACGGTTTACGTAAACACATTGGATATGCTGAGTGTAGAAACTGAATTCATAAGTGCTAAATGTTTAGGGATGTTCTAAAATGTGAAACTACCCATTATTTGTCAGGGTAAAAAAGGGTATGGAAAAGCTCCTGACGGCTCATGAGCTCTTTAGTCAGATTACTCTGTGTGGAACAAGAAGATATAGCTATTATGTAGCGTATGTTCCGATGGATTCTGTAGGTGTTTCGGGATTTGATCCTTTATCGGCACAGTTTACCGGCGAAAACCATTATAGATAATCGATAATACTAACCAAAATAATCAGTTTTTGGTTAAATGTTATAGTGTATGACGTCATGATTTTCACAGATAAGGAGCTAAGATGGTGGGGACGCCTTTACCTCTTTACAGAACACTCATCTTGACATGTAACATTGTTGTGTACACTACTAAGGATTATCAGTTGCATTTAACTTCACTTATTACATAGATTAAACATATTCGCTTAGATATCGGTCGTCTTTAATGGAACTGACGACAATTTGTCCAGTATTCTGAGGATAATCTTCATTTTTACGATTTATTTTTTTAAGTTTTCTAACTTTATTGAGAAGAAATATCTGTTGACAATTCCTTATGTCCTCTGGTGGACAGCAAAATAGTTGAGCACACACTGTAAAATGTACTATACGAGAAACACATTCGGTTTACACCAGGGAATTGTTTCAAACGTAACCACAGGACGAACAAATGTCAAAATAACCCTTTAGATATAATAGGATGAATAAATTTCTTGAACTTTCTAACCCCCTAATTTTTATTCATTTAAACATCAGTTTTCACAGCTATAGAGGCACTCGGATAAAACATTAAACAATAAAGATTTAAAGCAATAAAATATAACCCTTACAACTCAAGCTATATCAGGCAGAAAATCCAGGAACCACATTAAAACGACATTAGGCTAAGATGGGTTTAAGATATTAGTAGATGACTTGGGATTCTGCGTCAGGAGCCGGGAGAGTGTTGCAATGGTCATCTGGGAATTGTGAAGACAAGAGGACGGTGCAAGGTGAGGTAAATAATGAGAGGGCACTTTAGCACGGTCATACCCTCGTCACGGCAAACCTGCAGCCTCCAGATCGCAACGTGCAGTTGTATGATCAAATGTTGATAGGAAGACACAAACTTTGCAATAGTAAGGACTAATTATATCCGTGTGGAAATTGTCCAAAGGGAAACTATTTCTTAAACTCAGTGGAACAGATCCTCATTAAACTCCACCATAGGTAAAACTTACTTCTTCATAAATATGTTATCATTTGAGACCAGCCAAAGAAAGTTATAAGGTATTTCTTTCTGGTATAATAGGTCCAACCTGATGTTGAATATGATCTATTTTTGTTTTACCAACTTTAAAACCATGTAAACTAATAGATATATTTGCAAACTTTCACTTTTACTTTGGCATGCAGTGACAAGTACATACATTAATAAAATAAAAAATGAGATTTTTCGACAAATCCAAATGAATTATCTGCTACAAAACTAAAAGTCAATTGTGGAACACAACTACAACTTAGAGGTTAACCATTAAATAACTCCTTGTGATCAATGCTGCACTTGGTAGTTGACCAATGGTAGTTTAAAAGCTGTTTGTTGTCAAACATTGTAGTTTGGGGTTAGGTTCGTGTATGGCGTTGGAAGGCCTGTTTGCCTAGACAGTAGGCCTAGGTCGTTGCAGGCCACTGTTGAATAACAAACAATCAACAATGGGCAGTGCAGGGCCGCGGCGTGTTCAACAAGACGTGGTTTTGGACGAATGCAATTCATTTGCGTACTATTGTTTTATTAAGAGTTTGAAAAAAACGTTTCTAGTGGTGCATTTAGAGCAAATCCAGCTAGAGGTTAGAGATTGGGACTTGAAGTATTGATTGGTATGATACGGCCCTACATAGGGCTTAAAGGTGAACAAGGCAGTGTCTGGGGCCCCGCGTTTTTCAGGGCCCCGCACAGTCGTATTGGGCCACGCAATTTCTAGGGCCGCCACTTCTGTGGAATCCCGGGTTCAAAACCTGTTCAAATTACCAGTGGCTTTAAAGTTTGGGCAACTTTAGAGCCCACCTTTAACTGTAGGTCAACATATCTAGACAAAACAATAACAAGTTGAACTTTCCTGTATCTAGTTTTTCAATAAATGTTCCTGATTAAATGTTCCTATTATTTTCAACCTGGCAATCAAAGTAACCATCTTTGTGCACATGTCGACACACCAAACGATCAATGACTTTTTTTATATTTTTCTATTTATAACCTTTACCGTGGAAATAGTGCAAGGAAACTTCTCGTGCTAGGCCTATTGTAACCTATTAAACATATTTCTACCATGTTTTTGTTGAGTCAATTTATCTCTTGCAGTTTAGGGCAAATTATACTGTTAATGGTAACAAAATTAAAACAAACTTAAATCGAAGCTTAAACTCCCTGAAGATACATTAAATAAAACGGTTCTTAAATGTGTCACCGACACGATCTAAAAGACATTGATCCAACAAGGCCAAACCCAGGATTTAGGTGATACAAACATCGAACTTGACTTAAAAAGAGGAAGTAAAAGAAAACTGAAGTATCGAATAGGTAATAGTTATTTGTGTAACTAGTGGTGAAAGTGGCACTTTGCTGCACACGAGAGCAATGTTTACGCACGAGCCGCAGGCGAGTGCGGAATGATCTCGAGTGCAGCAAAGGCCTTTTTCACTCGTGTTACACATTATATTTTTCCTACAGTCACTATAAAACATAAATAATTAGTCTTTCAAACACTATACAACACGTTTTTAGGTTCAGCTAGCAACACAATTACACAAATGGTGCCCTGGAGAAAGTAGTACCCGTGGTCCGTATCACTCCGCTATTTTTCCTCGGCAAGAAATGTGCTCCGTCTTTTGAGAATATAGTTCCGTATGTTTTTGTAATTTGAAGTGGTTTCCGCGCCTAAAAAAAATGCTTTAAAGGTATTTTCTTGTTTATTAAG